CCCTGTGCTCCCCTCCCCCTCTGTCCCCCCCTGTCCCCCCTGTCCCCTCCCCTGTCCCCTCACCTGTCCCACCTGTCCCCACCTGTCCTTGTTCCTCACCTGTCCCTGTCCCCTCCCCTGTCCCTCCCCTGTCCCTGTCCCCACCTGTCCCTCTGTCCCCACTTGTCCCTTTCCCCTCCCCTGTCCCCTCCCCTGTCCCACCTGTCCCTGTCGCTGTCCCCACCTGTCCCTGTCCCCTCACCTGTCTCACCTGTCCCTGTGGCTGTCCCTGTCCGGCAGGAGAAGGCGGAGCTGGGCGAGGTGAATTTCTCTCTCTGTTACCTGCCCACGGCCGGGCGCCTGACGGTCACCGTCATCCGCGCCTCCAACCTGCGCGCCATGGACCTCACCGGCTACTCAGGTGTGTCACGGGTGTGTCACGGGTGTGTCACGGGTGTGTCACGGGTGTGTCACGGGTGTGTCACGGGTGTGTCACGGGTGTGTCACGGGTGTGTCACGGGTGTGTCACGGGTGTGTCACGGGTGTGTCACGGGTGTGTCACGGGTGTGTCACGGGTGTGTCACGGGTGTGTCACGGGTGTGTCACGGGTGTGTCACGGGTGTGTCACGGGTGTGTCACGGGTGTGTCACGGGTGTGTCACGGGTGTGTCACGGGTGTGTCACGGGTGTGTCACGGGTGTGTCACGGGTGTGTCACGGGTGTGTCACGGGTGTGTCACGGGTGTGTCACGGGTGTGTCACGGGTGTGTCACGGGTGTGTCACGGGTGTGTCACGGGTGTGTCACGGGTGTGTCACGGGTGTGTCACGGGTGTGTCACGGGTGTGTCACGGGTGTGTCACGGGTGTGTCACGGGTGTGTCACGGGTGTGTCACGGGTGTGTCACGGGTGTGTCACGGGTGTGTCACGGGTGTGTCACGGGTGTGTCACGGGTGTGTCAGGTGTGTCACCAGCTACTCAGGTGTGTCACCGGGTGTGTCACCACTGGGGACAGGTGTGTCATGGGTGTGTCACGGGTGTGTCACCAGTGGGGACAGGTGAGGACAGGTGTGTCATGGGGGTGTCATGGGTGTGTCACCAGCTACTCAGGTGTGTCACCGTTGTGTCACCGGGTGTGTCATGGGTGTGTCTCAGGTATGTCACGGGTGTGTCACGGGTATGTCACCAGGTGTGTCACTGGGTGTGTCTCAGGTGTGTCACAGGTGTGCTCAGGTGTGTCACGGGTGTGTCACCGGGTGTGTCACGGGTTGGGACAGGTGTGTCACTGGCGACTCAGGTGAGTCACCAGTGTGTCACCGTGTGTCACCGGTGGGGACAGGTGGGGACAGGTGTGTCACGGGTGTGTCACGGGTGTGTCATGGGTGTGTCACGGGTGTGTCATGGGTGTGTCACTGGGTGTATCACCGGGTGTGTCACCGGCTACTCAGGTGTGTCACAGGTGTGTCACGGGTGTGTCAGGTGTGTCATGGGTGTGTCATGGGTGTGTCAGGTGTGTCACCGGGTGTGTCACCAGGTGTGTCACGGGTGTGTCACAGGTTATTATGGGATGTTCCCAGGTTCCATGGGTTATTATGGGATGTTCCCAGGTTCCATGGGTTATTATGGGATGTTCCCGGGTTCCATGGGTTATTATGGGATGTTCTGGGGTTCCATGGGTTATTATGGGATGTTCCGGGGTCCTTTGGAGCCCGTGGGTCACCGTGGGGCGCTCCGGGGTTGCCGTGGGTCCCACGCGGCGCCGTCCCCCTGCCCAGACCCCTACGTGAAGGCCTCGCTGATGGCCGAGGGCCGGCGGCTGAAGAAGCGCAAGACGTCCATCAAGAAGAACACCCTGAACCCTAACTACAACGAGGCGCTCGTCTTCGACGTCCCCCACGAGAGCGTGCACCACGTCAGCCTCACCATCGCCGTCGTCGACTACGACTGGTGCGCGCCGGGGAGGGGTCGGGGGGGCGTTCCGGGGGGTTTGGGAGAGGTTTTTGGGGGTTTTGGGGGAAATTTGGGGGGTTTTGGGGTGTTTGGGGTCACCCGGGAGCGATGGGACACCCCTGGGTTGATGTCCACCATGAGAGCCTTGACTTTGTTGTCATCGTTGGGTTGAACTGGTTTGTACTGGGAGGGCTTTAGGGGGTCCTGGGGGTTCTGAGGAGAATTTGGGGGTGATTTGGGGAGATTTTGGGGGGATTTGGGGGGATTTGGGGTGTTTGGGGCCATCCTGGAGCCATAGGACACCTCTGGTTGATGTCCACCACGAGAGCGTCACCATCGTAGGGTTGAACTGGTTTGTACTGGGAGGGCTTTTGAGGGTCCTGAAGAGGTTTGGGGATGATTTCGGGCCATTCTGGGGGGGTTGGTGGGGAATTTGGGGGGATTTTGGGGATGATTTGGGGGAAATTTGGGGGTTTTTGGGGTGTTTGGGGTCACCCTGGAGCCATGGGACATCCCTGGTTGATGTCCACCATGAGAGTGTCAACATCATTGGGTTGAACTGGTTTGTACTGGGAGGGTTTCAGAGGGTCCTGGGGGTTCTGAGGAGAAGTTGGGGGTGATTTGGGGAGATTTTGGGGGATTTTGGGGGGTTTTAGGGTGTTTGGGGTCACCCTGGAGCGAAGGGACACCCCTGGTTGATGTCCACCACGAGAGCGTCACCATCGTTGGGTTGAACTGGTTTGTACTGGCTTGTACTGGGAGGGCTTTAGGGGGTCCTGAAGAGATTTTGGGGGGATTTTTGGAGAATTTGGGGGGTTTTGGGGGGAATTTTGGGATTTTTTGGGGTTCCTCTGACGAGGAGATGATCGGGCTGTGCCGCGTGGGCAGCGACAACAACGGGGCCGAATTTGGGGTCATTTTGAGGGATTTTGGGGTCGTTTTGGGGACCCTCAGAGTGGGATTTTATGGGGTATTTTTGGGGTGATTTGGGGAGTTTTTGGGGTCCCCCTGACCCCCCTGACCCCCCCTCAGCATCGGGAATGAGGAGATGATCGGGCTGTGAAGGGGGTCGAATTTGGGGTCATTTTAAGGGATTTTGAGGTCGTTCTGAGGAATTTTGGGGTCGTTATGAGGAATTTTGGGGTTGTTATGGGGTCTCTCAGAACGGGATTTTTTGGGGTATTTGTGGGGTGATTTGGGGTGGTTTTGGGGTCCCCCTGACCCCCCTGACCCCCCCTCAGCATCGGGAATGAGGAGATGATCGGGCTGTGAAGGGGGTCGAATTTGGGGTCATTTTAAGGGATTTTGAGGTCGTTCTGAGGAATTTTGGGGTCGTTATGAGGAATTTTGGGGTTGTTTTGGGGTCTCTCAGAACGGGATTTTTTGGGGTATTTTTGGGGTGATTTGGGGTCCCCCTGACACCCCCGAACCCCTCCCCAGCATCGGGCACAACGAGGTGATCGGGCTGTGGACGGGGTCGAATTTGGGGTCATTTTAAGGGATTTTGGGGTCGTTCTGAGGAATTTTGGGGTCCCTCAGACTGGGATTTTTTGGGGTATTTTGGGGGGATTTGTGGTATTTTTGGGGTCCCCTGACTCCCCCGAACCCTTCCCCAGCATTGGGCAGAACGAGGTGATTGGGCTGTGGACGGGGTGGAATTTGGGGTCGTTCTGAGGAATTTTGGGGTCGTTTTGGGGTCTCTCAGAATGGGATTTTTTGGTGTATTTTTGGGGTGATTTGGGGAGTTTTTGGGGTCCCCCTGACCCCCCTGACCCCCCCCAGCATCGGGAACGAGGAGATGATCGGGATGTGAAGGGGGTCAAATTTGGGGTCATTTTAAGGGATTTTGGGGTCGTTCTGAGGAATTTTGGGGTCGTTTTGGGGTCTCTCAGAATGGGATTTTTTGGTGTATTTTTGGGGTGATTTGGGGTGGTTTTGGGGTCCCCCTGACGCCCCCGAACCCCCCAAAATCGGGCACGAGGAGATGATCAGGCTGTGCCGAGTGGGCAGCGGCAATGACGGGGCCGAATTTGGGGTCACTTTGGGGGATTTTGGGGTCTCTCAGAACGGGATTTTTTTGGGGTATTTTTGGGGTGATTTGGGGTGGTTTTGGGGTCCCCCTGACCCCCCCGAACCCCTCCCCAGCATCGGGCACAACGAGGTGATCGGGCTGTGCCGCGTGGGCAGCGACGCCGACGGCCCCGGCCGCGAGCACTGGGCGCAGATGTTGGCGAACCCCCGCAAACCCATCGAGCACTGGCACACCCTGGTGGAGGTCAGAGACCCCCCCCCGGGACCCCCCAAAACCCCTCGGGACCCCCCAGAACCCCCCAGGATCCCATAGGAGCTCTCCAGATCCCAAAATCCCCCCTGAGAGCCCCCAGATCCCGTAAGGATCCCATAGGGAGTCCCTGAACCTGTAAGGACCCTACAGGATCCTGCAGGGACCCCCCGATCCCACAGGGACCCCCAGGGACCCCCAGAACCCCCCAGATCCCATAAGGATCCCATAGGGACCCCCAGGGACCCCCCAGATCCCATTGGGGACCCCCAGAACCCCCCAGATCCCATAAGGATCCCATAGGGACCCCCAGGGACCCCCCAGATCCCATAAGGAACCCACAGGAAACCCCAAATCCCACAGGGACCCCCTGATCCCACAGGGACCCCACAGGATCCCACAGAGACCCCCAGAACCCTCCAGATCCCGTAAGGATCCCATAGAGGACCCCCAGATCCCATTGAGGACCC